GTACTTCTGTAAAAGATAATAAAAACAATAATACACATTAGTATATAAACAATCCAAACTGGCCTCATGAGATTCCGCCCTTTGTTTCAGTTCTGCACTTGTCTCACATTGTTCTGAATGTAAAGTTTCATTTTGGTTAGTTTCGTTTGTTTTGCATTTAACGCCAAATTGAAAAAGCGTTTGTCGCCCCTTTTTATTAATCTCATCACATTTCTGTTTTTCCTTGTGTTTTTCAGCTCCAGATTTTTGAGATGACATTTCATAACCATTCATAAACTGAAATGAAATACAAAATATATTCATAAATGAAATGAAACTAAACTTGCAAATAAGTTAAATAAATAAGTAATGAAATTAAAATTCAATAAATTACACAAATAACTGTTCACCGAGTTTCAGATTAATAAAGGTTATGTCAAACAAGGCTGCAAGGTGGTTTTGCTATACACACAAAGTATATAGAGTATGAAGTATATATCCAATATTGTTTTTCTTTTAAAAAATTTGGTTTTGTAAAAATTTCATTGGCTCCCTTTTAAGCTCCATGGGCCCAGAACAATGTACTGGCTGCACCTCCCTCTCCTCAGGCCTCACTTTTTATAGATTGGTGTATCAATGAAGCCACTAGGAGTTAAACTCAACTTGAAGGAGACTTTGCCTTTTTTAAATGCCATCCTACTGTCCCAAGAAAATAAATCAAATGTTCATTGTGTCCCGTGGCCTTCTCCTAAACAGTTTCATGAGGTATGTGAAGGAATTTAGATCAGTATGCTACTTGACTGAAATTCCCTTCTCTGGGACTAGTGAAGGCTGTCTGAACAATGAGGCTGCCAGGGAAGTAGCAAATCCCTAATAAAGCTATCCCTGTCTTGACAGATCACCCAGCTGAAAATTGCTAGTAACCCTTTTGCTAAAGGTTTCCGGGAGTGTGAGCCGGATGACTGGTAAGTCTCTTCCTAGATTACTATTCTACTAAACCAGAGATAGACAAACGAATGAATGGAGCCATTTATTAAATGGATTGAAGACCTTGTTGCACTTGCCACTTATGAGCCAGTTGCCTATAAAGATAGATTTTGTTTAAGCAAGTATAATGAAATGTAGGACTCATTTACACAGAATACAGTAGGTTAAAAAAAATGATAGACATATAAATGTATTAAAAATACACATATTGCTGGTGCGGAGGTGCTCTGCAGCTGTTATTTGGGTTCTTTCTGAACACAGGCCTATGATGGGCCTGAATCCAAGAATAAACCAGGTGACAGGACAGGTGAGTGGGAGAGAGATGTGGATGAAGGAGGGAGCACAACTCATTGAGACAGTCTTCCCGAAGACTGGTGGCTGGTAGGATAGTTTTATGGCTTTGCTGTCATTCAGGCTAGAAGAGGACGCTGGGAGAAGTGTTTAATTTCACCCCAGTTAAAGTACCCCAAATTCAGAAGTGTTGCAAGGGAATGTCAGTTCTGGCAGTAAATGCAGTCAGAAGCATTGAGATGCAGTGGTGGGTTTCAAATTTTTTTACTACCGGTTCTGTGGATGTGGCTCGGTGGGCATGGCAGGGGAAGGATACTGCAAAATCTCCATTTCCACCCCACTCTGGGGGAAGGATACTGCAAAATTCCCATTTCCTCCCGATCAGCTGGGACATGGGAGGCAGAGAATAGAGTCAGAATTTTTACTACTGGTTTTCCAGAACTGGTCAGAACCTGCTGAAACCCACCTCTGCACAGATGTCAATATGATGCCAAAATAGGTAAAATGGTATTCTCTCCCCGCCCCCCCCCAAAAAAAATCCAGTCAGGCAGAATCCTTTTTTGGCTAAAAGAGAAAATCTTTAATGCTCTAATTTGGGACATCTCTTTTCCAGTTTAAATCAATTGGTTTCTTTTTTTTAATAGCCCAGCAAAATGAGAGTGAAGTTACTGGTAGGGAGGGATTATGCTCACAGCATTCTCAACTAGGCAACTTTTTAAATGTCAGCCACTGACTATATCAATGCCATATCAATACCTTTAAAAGATCTACAATGCCCAATTCATGATCTTGGTAATGATGTGATCAGGGTCTAGAACAGCCAAGGACAAATTTAGCCTGCCTCCACAGTTGCAAAGAGATCAAAGGTTGAATTACGAGACACACTCTCAAAAGCAAAACCCGAGTCCCAAGTCATGCTAGTTCTGTTATAATTCACTTTACCTCATGAGGCGTTTTCCCCAACCGTAATGTCTAGAACTGCTATAGAATCATTCCACCAATGTTTTGGGGATGATTGATTGTATCAGCTACATCTTCATCATGCTGATAACCAAACAAAAGGGAAGAATTAAGACATCAGTGGGGGCTAAGGACAAAGATAGAACTGGATCAGGTTTTGAGAGTATTCTCAAAAACGTCCTGTAGAGTAGTGCTTAAGGGAAATTTCACATGTATACTTTAACTGATTATGTTGTATGTGTATAGGCCAGGATCCTCGGGGCAACTACTGGGTTGTTTATCACGGAATGGGAATGCCTCTTCCTTAATAGGCCAACTTCAAGAGATTCCAGAGAAAGGTAAGATGAAAAAATAATTTATCAGTTTAGAATGGAGAAATCTACAGGAAAGCAGTCTTAAATCCAAGTGCATAATAGGAAAACCTAAAAAGAGCCTGGTGGCGCAGCAGACTAATAGCCTGTTATTAACATTCAGCTGCCTGCAATTACTGCATGTTCGAATCTCCCCAGGCTCAAGGTTGACTCAGCCTTCCATCCTTTCTAAGGTAAGTAAATTGAGGACCCAGTTTGTGGGGGCAATAAGCTGACTTTGTATAAATGAAGGCTATTGCTTAACGCATTGTAAGCCGCCCTGAGTCTCCGGAGAAGGGCGGCATATAAATCAAATTTAAAAAAAAACAAAAACCAACAATCCCATAACACTGAAATTTTATAGCTAGTTTTAAATTTTATGGGCTAAGGGTAATGAAGCTATACAACTTCCTACATAACTGTTTTACAAAGTTTTGTGAGTAAATGTTGTCTTCTTCTATACTGTCCTCACTGTAGGCTGAAATGAGCCTTTTTTTGTTCATTCCATTAAGCCTGCCTCCAGGTCAGCCATAATCACATTGTATGTAATCCACATTTTTCCTGAAGCACAAAATTATCATTAAGTAAAGAACTCAGAGGAAAACTTGAACTTTATTCTTTAAAGATCTGCACCATAATGGTATCAAAAATGTTTAAAAGCCTAGGCACTATCTGGAAAACTACTGAAATTTGAATATTATGGCTTCTGCAATTTAAATAGTTATCTTGGTATCTTCTCATTTAGTAAGCAAGAGAGGAATCAACATCAACAAAGACTTGCATACATGTGGTTTTTTTTTTCTTGAGGCAGTTTGATTGTATTCTTGTCTTTAATCACTGCACCAAACTGGTTCTCCAACTTTACTAAACTGAACTGTTAGCAAGAGAATGCATTGGACCAAACAATGAACTGGTATTTAAATTGCTGGTTTCAACAACCTGATAATAGTAAAATGCAAATCACACTATTATCTCCTGAGATCCCAGGTCTTAATGAAATCATAGAGATACTCCTTGCATGTGGATTCTTCAGTGGAGGTTTTGCCTTCCTCACTTGGATTAAAAACAGCAAAGGTGTATTTCACACTGTATAGAACAGTGATGGCTAACCTTTTCTGGACTGAGTGCCCAAAGCGTGTGCGAATGCGTGCACGCACGCCCAACCCCCAAAATGCAATGCATGCACACACCGTGCATGCACCCCGCCCCCTCACGCAGCCCCCCTGCACGCACTATGCATGCACAGCAGACCCGAAGACCAGCTGGCCATTGGGAAGCATGAGTGCATGCATGGCAGAGCTGAAATGGGGCGATAGTGTGTGTACCCCTGCACAGCCCCCACCCCCCATATGCATGTGCCTCCACATGCACACACAGCCCCCCCCACACCCCGTGCATGTGCGGCAGAGACTCGGAGACCAGCTGGCCGGCAGAAGGTGCGAGTGCATGCACAGCAGAGCTGAACTGGGGTGACGACTTGCATGCCCAGAGAGGGTGCTGCATGCCACCTCTGGCACGTGTGCCATAGGTTTGCCATCACAGGTATAGAACATCAAACTGTATAGAAACAGATTAGGGCTTCTGGTAATTCTCTATAGTTACCTCTCTTTCTAGGGTTTTCCAGCAATCACCATCTCCCTCCTGCCCTCCTCAGAGAAGCCTCCCAATTCCAGCATCAACCTCTGGTGACATCAGCCAGCCTCCCAGATGTATGCATCGCACGACGACCCTTGAATGAAGCCTCAGGGGCCCTGCCCTACAAGCATCTCTCCTATCACAGCTTCTACGTGGGAGCTCGATCTGGGGCAGCGCCTTATGCCTTACCTAGCAACCGGGCAACCAGCTTCCATACTCTCAACATTTACACAGCTGGTGGCTATGAGCAATGAGACCGCCGGAGCAGACGTTCCCCATCCCCTGGCCCAGTTCAGATCAAACTTTCCCAAAGAACCCCTTTCATCTCCCGGTGCGTTTTTTATGATACCGCCTGCCAGGAAGTTTGCCCATTATACAGCTTCCTCTTCATTGAAGGCATTTTGGGGATGGTATTTTTTATGCCCAACTGATACTTACATCTTATCCCCTGCTCTAGATAGCAGAGTTTCCCACAACTTCCTCAATTACATATTAAACAATTATATTATATATAGGTACGATGTGGTCCAACACAAAACCAACCTCTTTTAAAAGGCGTAATGGAACTCAAAACAAGAACAGAAAGTGGATTTCACTGAGATCCTGGCCACCTGCTCATAACTGATTTTGCTCCTTGCCTCTTTGAAATCAGCCCAAAATTCTTTAACAACAGTTAAGGAATTCAACCCCATCTCCAAACACAACCACCTGTCTGAAACACACCCATCCCATGTTCAAACCTGCAAAGCAGAAATCCCAAGTAAATCTTGCAACTACAAAATGCTCTCCAGGCAGAAGTAAAAATGCAGCGAGTTTTATTTTTATTGCCAAGTTAGTGCCACAGGGATAAGGATTTCAATGTCTTTAGCACAGAATTCTACATGGCCTATTGAATGCACTGTCCTTCTCTTAATGGGAGGATGTGACAAGATTTTGATGCATTTTTGAGGCCTCCCTGCCTTCAATGTGAAGGAAACTTGTAGTGCACTTCATGCCAAGAATCCCTCTTTTGTTTTTGGCAAAATTAAACTTAGTTGGCCCACATGGGAGAGGTGCTGTTTTCATTTGCTCCATCTCTGGTCCACGTTCCATTGATGTGTTTTGCTAACAGCCAGTAAACTGAGTTCAATAGAAAGAACAGCCACAGTCATCTCAATCCACTTCCCTGTATTAACCCCCAACATGTCCACTGCATTGCTTTAGATCAAGCCTGTCTTGACAGCTTGGACTTCCCAGAGCCTCCACCTCATATTTTGGCAGATGCAGCATCAACCTGAATTCTTTGTCATAAATAAAACTTTCTGAGGCTGACCTGGACATTAACACCAGTAAAATTCTAGTGCAGATCTGCAGAAGGCAATTTAAAAAGTGCCTAGGCCAGGTCTCTTGTCAACTAATCTTAAGTAAGTAAACCGGTCCCTTTTTAAACAAATGAGTGATACAAATGGACAATGTTCTAGTAAATCTTAATGGACCACTTTTCAATATTTCCTATATTCTGATTTTCCTTTTCCACCAGAGCTTTCAAGTTACAGAGACATAGATAAGAAGGTTATTGGAGCAACATTATCAAAAGGTCTGGAAGCAATGTGGCATGATTCAAAACACAGATCTGGAAGATTGTTCCTTCAGTTCCAAAATGTCAGCCCAAATACTGATATTTCATGTGTGAGTCAGCACAGGATCTCGGTTTAATTATAACAGGTTGTTAAAGGCTAGTGCATGTTCTGCCTGGATAGAAGTCACAACCAGTAGATGGGTAAGCAAGAATCAGCAAAAAAAAAAAAAGCAACATAAGGTGGTAGCTTTGCCCATTAGTTCAGGACGGCACACTAAATATTCCTTTTCTGGAGAGAAGCAGTCACTTTTCTTGTTAGATCCAAATGTCACTGGTGAAGGTGAAGGGGTTGAACTGGTACCCAGCACCTGAATAGAATTTGTTCTGGAATTCCACCCTGAAAAATACAGGACAGGTCAGTATAGGATTTGCAAGATCAACTCTATCCCCAATTTTATCTAGTTCCAATATATGGTAGATGCAGTGGTGGGTTGCTACTGGTTCGCCCCGGTTCAGGTGAACCGGTAGTGGTGGCAGCGGGAGACTCCGCCCACCCACCCAGATGTCATCAAAAATGCTCTGCACACGCACAGAACCTTCTGCGCATTCGAAGCGCTGCACGTGCGCAAAGTGTGTGTCCCCGATAGCAAACTGGTAGCGCCGGGATTTGAAATCCACTACTAGGTAGATGTGCTGTGTTACCCCAGGATTGAACAACCCATCTAGCATCATAGACTTGATCTCTTTGAGAACCATTTATTGCCTCTATGACTTCTAAATGATAGCATAGAGGAACTTAGCAATCCAAGTCAAACAGGGCAGTAAAATTTACACAAAATGTTCTTGTGTTTGCCAGGAGAATTCCCTTTCCCATGCATGTGCGAGCTGTGGTGGCGCAGTAGTTAGAATGCAGTACTGCAGGCTAATTCTGCTGCCTGCTGGCTGCCTGCAGTTTGGCAATTTGATTTTCACCGGTTCAAGGTTGACACAGCCTTCCATCCTTCCGAGGTCGGTAAAATTAGGACCCAGATTGTTGGTGGGGCGGGGAGGGGGGGGGATATGCTGACTCTGTCAACCGCTTAGAGAGAGCTGTAAAGTACTGTGAAGCAGTATATAGGTCTATCGCTACATGTCTCACCAATGAAGACGTAGGGCGTGCAGGAAAGCTGAGAGTCCCTCCATCACCAGCAAAATTGCAACAGTCAATACTGCAAAGAAAGCAAAGACGGGAACAAGGACAACCCCGCCATAGTAGCCCATCAAAAAGCCATTCTTCATCACCATGGTCCAGAGGACCTCAGAGAGCTCTGTGAACAGGAATAAGTGCAAGAGTTAGCAAAGATTACAAAGGGGCAAATTCTCTGAAATCTAGAAATCTCGGCAGATAGGACATACACTATCTTAATCAGATTTAATTCTGATGCCAAATCACTGGCTTTATATACATTGTGATATCATTTATGGCATATTGTGTGTAAATAGTCAACCTTGTCGATTACTTTGTTGACCACAGTTAAGCAAATAATGGCGTAGTGTAATATAAAAACCCACACACAATGATTATACATGATGCCTAGACTTAAATGTTTGTTTAACCTTGCTGTTGAATAAGTCATGTTTGTCTTGGGTTCACATAACAAGCTACACCCTAAGCCCGTGATGGCGAACCTATGGCACGCGTGCCACAGGTGGCACATGGAGCCATATTGGTGGGCACGCGAGCGTTGCCCTAGCTCAGCTCCAGCATGCAATCGTGCACCAGCCAGCTGATTTTCGGACCTTCCGGGCCCACTGGAAGTTGGGAAACAGGCTGTTTCCAGCCTCCAGAGGGCCTACAGGGGGGTGGGGAAGGCCTGTTTTTCGCTCTCCCCAGGCTCCAGATGCTTTCTAGGAGCCTGGGGAGAGCGAAAACGGCCTTCCTCAGCCCCCGGAGGCCCTCCAGAGGGCGAAAAACAGGCCCACCGGGCCCACCATTCCATCGCGTGCCAAAAGTGTGGGGAGCGCGGGGGAGGGGTTGTCACATGCACAGGGGCGGAGCCCATTGAATTATGGGTGTAGGCACGTGTGCGCGCAACCCCCCCCATACTCCCCCCACTTTTGGCATGCGACGGCAAAAAGGTTAGCCATCACTGCCCTAAGCCGTACTATACAAAACCAAAACCAAACAAACCACATGATGATTTGCTGCAATACAAGAACCCAGTCACCATCACCTTTCCCAGGAATTTCAGAAAAAATTCTCACCAACCAATCAGCGTAGCACAAAAGTTTGCAGCCAAAGAAAGCCTTCTCTATTTCCTTCACTTCCCACCCCCAGGAACTCACGTGCATGGGCCAAGCTGAGAGCCCAGAGACGCAGATAAGAGGCCGTGTTCGAGATGCAGCCCAGGCAAAACTCAATAGTGTGAATTGCTTGATGCATAAACACGTCACTGAAGTCAAACTATGGGCGAGAGGGAAAAGAATTGGGGTGGCAGTGAGGACTAGCCAGGTACTCTCAACTAAGCCCAACCCCTCCCCTGGAGCTTTTTCCAAAATCCAAAGAAAGAAAATGAAAGGAAATGAGAGGGAGGGAGAGGGGGTGAGAAACAGCAAATAGAGATTGGTGAACAGAGCATTCAGATCAGAAGGTAGCTTTTAAATATCAATAATGTTGGAATGCAAATGATATGAGTACAGATAGTCTTTGACTTACAACAGTTCATTTAGTAACCATTCGAAGTTGCAACAGCACTGAAAAAAGTGACCTATGACTGTTTATCACATTTATGACCGTTTCAGCATTTCCATGGTCACACGATCAACATTCAGATGCTGGGCAAGGGGTTCATATTTATGACAGTTACAGTGTCCTGGGATCGTTTTTTGTAACCTTCTGTCAAGCAAAGTCAATCAGGAAGCCAGATTCACTTAACAACCGTGTTCCTAATTTAACACATGCAACAATACACTTAACAACTGTGGCAAGAAAAACCATAAAATGGGGCAAACTCACTTTAACACATGTTTCACTTAGGAACATACATTTTGTGCTCAACTGTGGTCGTAACTCAAGGACTAGCTGTATCATGGCATATGTACTTATAAACTTAAGATCTTGGGGCACCAATATTAAGTCGCTTCTTTTATGCAATTCCATCATGACACATTTTCGTTTTGACATAATTGCAGCTTTTCTAGTCTTTGCTGCCTATATCCCTCTTTTTGAAACATAAGTATTGATCTATCTATGCTGGTGGTTTCGGTTATTTCATCAATTTCAGCTTTCTTCTATTCTCCTACCACATCTAAAAAAAAAATCACTTAAGTGAAAATAAAGTCTTTATGTTATGGCAAATCTGCACTAAGTACTGGTCGAATGGCTAGGAGGGAGGATACAGAACAAAATTTTGGCCATCGCAACCAAATTAAAGTAAAAGTGTTACCTTCTCCTCTTCCTCCTCCTGGTTGCTTTCCATGTGATCCATGTCACCTTCAGCAATGTTCACAGATCTCTTTCGTTCCTGAGAGTTCAGCAGAGGTTGCCGCTCTCCTGCTGTGGAAGGATTGCGCTGGAAACATCCCGGAACATATCAACCAACAGAGAAGAGGCTGCTCAAATATCACCCAGCCTCATTCCACAGATTTATTACCCAGATTATATAAGCGAAAGATTCTCCCCTCACCCCACCCAAATCCCAAACCTGGTATTTTCCTCAATGGCATGTACCTTCTTTGAGGATGCTTCAGTGTTCACTATAGGCCTTTCTCTGCTCAGTCCTTAAATTGGTGGGCTCACAAGATGAAAGTCTTAGATTCCATATAGCTGGCAACTGAACTAGGGAATCAGTTTGGACAACAGTCCTACATTAATGCCAGGGAGTGATTCTTACCTGAGATTTAGGAACCTTCTGGTGATGTTTGTGCCAGAGATAAAAGGGCGTCCCCAGCAGCAGGATGGGGACAGAGAGCACAGCCACCAACATCAATACCATCTGCACTGTTTTCTGTGGTGAGCAAGACGACAGTTGTAGTTATTGCTGCCCCATCTCCAAGCTTTCAAAACTAAAATAATGTTACAGGAATTTTTAAAAAAATATTTTTCTGAGTTGGATCTCACAATCAGAACAAGATACCAAAACAAAGACAAGTTCAGCATCCTCTTCTCTCATCCTCTCTTTCTCAGTTTATTTCAATTCTTATCCTGTTAAACTTTATTGATCAGGATCTTTTTCACACTCTAATCATATATTGTCTTATTAACAAAGCAAAGCAAAACAAAACACGACTCTGAAAATTAGGAAACCATTCAATGCTTCCCTCGAAGTATTACAGTCGACATGTTTGTCTTAAAAAATAGTTACCAGCACGGTAAGTTTGAAAGGTGTATTACCCAGTAAAGGGAATTTGTTCCCGATATTAAATATGGCATTGATAACATTTTGATTATTCAGTTCCATTTTAAGTATTTTCCTTGACAGATTTAAAATGCAGCAAAAATAAGAAGGCAGCATCTAAAATAGCAAGCAGCATCCCCACGTGGCACCCGTGGAAGCCCAAAACTAATTATTAAAAAAATTAAATGGCAGAAGTTTCGTGATAGTGCCAAATCTCATGAGATTGCAGTGGCTGAAATATCAGTAGATTGTATAAGATTTTCAGATGAGAGTATCTTGTAAGGTTTGGCAGTTTGTATGTGAATATGGATAAGCTTAAAGTTTTTGACAATAGCAATAGCACTTGGACTTATATACCGCTTCATAGTGCTTTACAGCCCTATCTAAGCAGTTTACAGAGTCAGCATATTGCCCCCAACAATTTGGGTCCTCATTTTATTGACCTCGGAAGGATGGAAGCCTGAGTCAACCTTGAGCCTGGTGAGACTCAAACTGCCAAACTGCAGGCAGCCTTCATTCATTCTGCAGTACTGCATTCTAACCACTGTGCCACCACAAGTACCAAAGGCATTGGATAGCTCTCAATAGCTAAAATTACGTTTGTGTTCAGGTTCTCAATCTATAACTATATTCAAAAGGTCTTATGGCTTTGTACCTCTTGTTGATGTATGCACATTGTTCATCATCAGAAAACCAAATGATGAATTGATTTGTAAAACCACCATCACCATTTGGACAGAAAATTCATCTCAAATAACATTTCTCAAAAAAGCTGGTCACAGATCCATCATTAAAAAACAAATGCAAATGAATATCAATGATTGAATAGAAAAAAGCCATCTTAATATGTAACAAGGCTACTTTCATTCATAATTTGATTGTGGATGAGATGGCCAAATTGGTACACATAATTATCAGAACCAGAGGGGGTTATATGAAGATAGAGGGGGTTATGGTTAATCCTTTTTCCTACTGTTTTTATCTCCTTCCATAAGATCCCATCTGTTAAACAATGCCATCCAATTGGACCCTTTTTCTGTTGTCATCCCTGTTCTATCAAATAGCATCACTCAGATATTTCCCTAGGCTCTGATTAGTGTGAGACACAGGGTTCCTATCTGAGGGGTCTAAATAATTTTTTACTGGGGAAACCATCTTCTATTTCTGTTTTTGTTTGTTGCTTTATATGCCCATGTTTAATTTTGCATGCCATCAAATCACTGACACATTTGGCAGCCTTAGGAATATGAACATTAAAAAAAACAAAAAACCAGATTTCAAGGGAACATTTTATCCCCAAACAGCTTCCTCTATTCCTGTACTATTTGACAATGTGCACATTTGGAACAAATAAGTGTTATTTGTCCCATTCAACATAACAAATTCTGGAAGGAAGAAAAACAACGGAGAATTAAAGGGAGGAATACTTTTTAAATAGGTAATCAAAAGATAGGATATAATGCTAAAAGCAGTTACCTGGTGCTTATAGAGCGGAGGACTTCCAGCACTCTCTGAAAACAGGAACATGTTAATGAATTGGATGAGAATGCTAGGGGCGAACATGGAGTTAGAAGCATCATACATAAACCATTTGTAAAATATCAGGATTACAAGGTAGCCAAAAAGCAGCAGAAGGAAAGTGATCTCTGGAAGGAAAACCAATAGGAGCTTGTATCTTTGCTTGAAGTGGCTGCAAACCAGACAGACAGGAGAAGTCATCAACAAAACCATCAGAGACACATCCAGCCCAATATCACTGATTACCCAGATGCCTCTTGAGAAGCAACAGCTCAATCCCCATTATGTTCCTCCCCCTCTAAGGAAGAGGAGGTAGCATATAGCTGTCATTATCTCTAGCTACTAGCAGTTTTACCCTCCATAAATGTATCCAACTCCCTTTTAAAACCCTCTCTTTCCAAGACCCCCTTGGTTGACCAAGCAGAGGTACATCATCTGGATACTCACAAGTGGTTGAAGATGCCAACAAACACTCCAAAGGTCATGTGAAAAATGCCCAAGATCACAGACATCTTCATTTTGTAGGAGTTTAGAAAGGTGAGGTGATTAATAGTCAGACTCCAGATCTGGTTCATAAGAGATGAAGAGAAAAATCCCACGCATAGCAGTGACAAGAGCCAGTTCAGATTTGGGAAGGGGAAACAAATAAAAGGAAAGCAGAGGAAAGAAAAATCCAATTAATTTTAATTCTGGTTCGGTCTTATTTACAGCTGGACTTTGGATATAAAAGAAACATCTCTACATAAAAGAGCAACATGGAGTGGGAAAAGGTTTTTCCGTCAAAACAGGTTGAAAATCTGTTCTTTCATATAACTGATTGGTTACAATATATGGATGCCAAGATGGCACCTTTTTTAAATATATCTTTGTACATTTAAACAAAGGATGGCAATGGAAATAAATACAGTATATTGCAAATGCATATAACCCAAACTGAATCTGAGATTACATATTTGCCTAAAGTTAACTACAATTCTGATTTAATCTCAGAACTACATTGAGATATTAAACTGATATTAATTTTGTTTTGTCTTAAGTCAGTTTTCGCCTCGCTATTGACCTTTAGTTGAGTTGGAAATACATCTCCCAGAATTCCCTGTCAGAATGCTGGAACTAATTCCTTGGCGTTGTAGCCCAATATACTTGGATACCAGCACAGGGGTGTTTGATATTAGGAAACTACATGCTGCCATGGTTAAATATTCAGCAAGCATTATTATTTATATAATAAATGCAACAGAAATTCAAATCTGTTGGGAAATTAACATTCAAATTATATTTAAAAAGTTTATTACATCCCATCATATCCTTCTGTTCAAACTATAGTTTATTTATTTATTTAATGCATTTACATTGCTTTTTTCCAATGAAAGCTTAAGATAGTATATAAAGAGCCGAGGTGACGTAGTGGTTAGAGTGCAGTACTGCAGGCTACTTCAGCTGACTGCTAGCTGCAGTTCAGCAGTTCAAATCTCACCAGGCTCAAGGTTGACTCAGCCTTCCATCTTTCCGAGGTAGGTAAAATGAGGACCCAGATTGTTGGGGGCAATATGCTGACTCTGTAAACTACTTGGAGAGGGCTGTAAAAGCACTATGAAGCAGTATATAAGTCTAAGTGCTATTGCTATTGCTATACTGGTTTTTCCCTCGTTTTATCTCTGCCATACAGACTGGGCCAAAGAAACCAAGAGAACTCAATGACTAAGTGGGGAACCACTTTTGTTAGCTACATCATGGCATTTTGCATGTTAGTTAGTTAGTCAGCTATATAACCACCTATTGTTGATGCAGCAACAACATTGCAGCAAGATGCTCAGCAGTCAGTGGAGTTATCTGATGCCAGCTCTCACCACAAAGGGAGTCTTTTTTTCAAGAAAGTCTTCAGCCTTTCTGGAAATAAATTGGGAGGGAGCACAGTACATATGCCACCTTAAGCTCCTGAAGGAAAGGCAGGATCTAACTAAGGAAAATAGGTACATTGCATTGAGAATTCCCATTGAAATCCTTACAATCGGCTATTTTAGGTCAAAGAAAGGAAAGACAATGGAAGCCTATGAACTTCAAATTTGTTCAACATGGTTAAATACACCTAGTTACTTTTCATCCAGCACACATCAAGCGGCAGTAACTCACATGGCTATTTGTTTCAAGTTGCCACTCACTTACCGGATCTATCCCAAAAGGGTAGGGACCATTAAAGACGCCAGTGACATTGGGGTCCAGATTTAGAGAAAGGCTTTCTATGATATATTCCGAGCTGTAAGGAAAAGAAGAGTTTCAAGTGATGACTATGGCCTCCCCAAAGGAGAAGGTTTTTGGCTTTAAGGACAGACACTTCCGTACCTCCAGTCCGAGTTGTTGGCCATAGCAGCAACACTCCAAGCAGAGGGGAAGATAGTCAGTGCCTTGCTGAAGCATTCATTGTAGATGAAACCAGTGTAAATAGAGAAGGCACCCATTAAGAGGATGAGGTAGCGGCCCGCAAAGAACATCTGCCAGATCTGATTAGGGAAGGTAACATTAAGTATACTGTATATGATGCATAGAGGGAACATATTCAGCAGCCCATATACGGTTATTATGTTAGTTTCTGAAAGTGTTCAGCTTCCCAACTAGTCAGAGATACAACTAAAACTAATTCACATTTGTTTTTTTACGGATTTAAAAAAGGGGTAGCACCATCTTGTGGTCCTTAAGGAAAAAAAAAAGAGGATGAACTTGTTCTAAAATTATTTCCAGATATCTGGGAGAAATAGTTCAAACAGATCATTTCTTCACCATCTACTTAAAGTGCACATTCCTCTTCAACCAAGGCTCACCTCATTTTCCGCCTTCTTCATTCCAGGCCGGTTCTCAAAAAGCACCATCCAAAGGGCAAAGAGGAACATCAGTAGTCCATGGCCAACATCCCCAAACATGACGGCAAAGAGGAAAGGGAAAGTGATGATGGTGTAAGGAGCTGCAAAGGAGAGCTGACATTAGCTGAGAAGCCCAAGGAAAGTTCCACAGTTACTTGCCCTGTTGCTTTAGTCAGTCTAAACTGTCATCATCCCTGCGCCTTGGTTGTTTTTTTGGAACCACAAAAGAATCAAGAGTAATCAACATATCTCATCATCTCATATTCCATCCTGTTAGGCTTATGCAATCTCTAGAACCAACACTTGTCCCTGATGGATTTCTTCTCCCTCTTATTCTCCACGTGGTTTACCCTTGTTTGGAAGTGAGATGTCATATCTGTTACTGCAACTGTCCCCCGTCATTGGTAAGGAAATGAGTATCAAGCAATGGACCAAACCTCCAAGGGTGAAGAGATGAGGGATGTAGCACATTTCCTCACCTGGGTTCATCTCTTGATAGCTGGCCACCCCATAGGCATCAATAATGTTCTGGAAGCCTGCAGTGAATTTATTGGTGCGAATGAGAGTTGGGGGGCTCTCAGTGCAGATAATCCGGTGGACAAAGGACTCTACTCCAGAACCACTGCGCTGCTGTAGGAACAAAAAAGGATCACCCAGGGCAGTTTAGGTAACAGATGTACTTGGGCTTGGCCAGTTTTCCTCCTCACTCTCTTTCTGAGCTGGTTTGCAGTGGCTCAACCTCTAGAATGCAGAGTAATGAGTCATCCAAGTACTCACCCAAAGATAAATTGCAACCCATCCTAAAAGCATCTGGAGCACTAAATCAAGTGCATCATGACAAGTGCAATTGCCTCTTTGCAGAGGCTACTACTCAGCTATTGCTTTCCAAAAAAAATTAAGCCTCCAGGTTACAAATTCTAATTATCTTCCATTATTACCTTTTGCTACCTCTCACAATCCAGAACTCTGTGGACTAATTGGAAAGCTTGAAGTCCTATCTCAAAATAATCTAAATTATTTTGAGAAAAGTCACAGCTTTAAAATCTGAACGTTACAGGGAAGCTACCTGCAGCCTCCAAGGAGGATCCAGGAGCTATGTAAGTCCCTGAATTCACATTTTTCAGCCACTGGACGTTTTCAGCCTTGTCTTTAGTTTCTGAGATTTTAAGCACACATTATTTACATATTTCCAAGCATTTCTTTATACCCATGAGAATTAGAAACCTATTTTTTTAAAATTTACTGCTCCACAGGGGAAATGGCAAAGCAAATTAATTACATACTGGTATTAGTAACAATCTCAGTCCATTAGGTACTGGTTGTTATGTAGCCAAAACATACAGGAAGTACTTGTATGCTCTAAGAGCACAAGGCTTGCCTTAATGAATTATACTTTTTTTGTGGGGGGAGGGAAATAACAATCTTCAGAGGAGATACTTCCCTACTAAAACTCAGCTTGAGTGGGGATGGTCAGAATGGTAAATCAGCTATCTGAGAATAAGGGCACCAATCCTGCAACATTTCAGGGGTGGAGGCAGCTCTTATTGGTTAACCTATAAGCCAAAGCAATTTCCTTTCAGCTACTAGTGCAGGGGTGGGCAAATCTGGCCCCTTTATGACCTGTGGACTTCAACTCCCAAAATTCCTGAGCCAGCTTGGCTGTCTCAGGAATTCTGTGAGTTGAAGTCCACAGGTTGTAAAAGGGCCACAGTTGCCCACCCCTATACTAGTGTGAAGAGGAATGAATTAATCTTATTGAGAAAAAGCAATACATTTCTCCTCGTGGTCTACAGCATCTCAGGCAGTGCAGAAGTAGGATGACAAGAGGAGAAGAGACATCCCTACAGACATCCAGTGGCACTTACCGATCCTTCGCGCAGGGCCAGTTGCACAGCAGGAAGGTCACGGACAGGGCACCAGACCTCCCCAATGAGGCATTTATCAGTGATGCTGAAGCTGCACTGGTTGAGGATGAAGTAGATAGCCTTCATCTTCTGGATCTGGACTTGCCATGCAGGTAGAAACAAAAGTACTTTTTGAAGCACCTGGTCCAAGTACTGTTCTGTCTGGCCCAATACCTATTTGCAAGAGTTTGGGGGCAACACAAAATGGAGTGAGTTCATAGCTTTCATTAGCAGAGTGATTTAAAGTTAATATTATTTAATTAGCAATGGAAGAAGATGCTCAGAGCAGTGACTGTCAAAGTTATCTTTAAATCTAGAAAATACAGAAGCCTCATCCCGTCACAGGCTTATTTATTCATTCGTTTATTCAGTCATCATTCGTTAATTCATTCAAAATATGTGTATGCCTACCTGTCTTAAAACAAAACTCTGGGTGGACCACAATCAAAGAATAAAACATCATATACTAACGGTAAAAAATATTGGTGCCACAGCCAAACTTCCTTAATATATCCCACAACATTCTCCTTCCATTCTGACCTCACTATTCTGACCTTTTTAAACTGATATCTTCCCCCAATGTTCTGATTACGTTTATAAATTAGTGAAAGAAATGGAAACAATTTATTATAAAAAGTCAGGAGAACAAATAGGAGAATGGGGGGGGACAGGAAGGAGAAGAACACAGACCCTTCCAAATCAAACTTGGGTAAAACACAAAACACAGAAAAAGAAAATACCTCTGCATTTCAAGAACTAAGAGAGGAATGCCTTTTATTTGCTTTGAAGGGGAAAAAAAAGCATTTTACAGGAGTGGTGAGCAAATATGATATCTAAGAAGCGCTGCTGGCTTTCCAAAAATAACATTTTAAAAAATTACACAACTTGTAAGATTTGGTGAACTCGTGGACAAATGCCACCACTTTGCAGAATTCTGATCTAGAACAAAGGAATCTTCCAAAGCCAAAGTTTTTGCTTTGGAGACAGGACTTATTGTATTCAATCAATCAGCAATTGATAAAGAGATAGTATATAGAAACAAACTTGAATATTTGATCCAGGACCAATTAAGGTTAATATTTGGGATGATTCGGGACTGAAGTCGTTGTAAATTTCTGGAAATTTTTTGGAACTTTAGCTTTGTCTTTCTTCTATTACTGTTCACAATTTTTATTATTTTTATATTCTTACATAATATGTTTGTTATTTTTTCCTGTTAACTACTTCATTATTAATATAGTTTGCAGATGACAGGCTAACAATTTGTAAGTAGATTTAGTAGTTTACCAGTTTAAAATTCTTTTGGCTTGTTTTGCATGGGGAAACCAACATTGCTGTACTATACCAATCAGCATTCAGCTAGGGAGGATGTTATGTGTATATATGTTGGTTTCGGTTTTTTTTAAAAGACACCTTTTTGTCAATATCTTTTTTGTTGTGTGTGGTTTTTTTTTTTAATATTTTGGCATTTTGTATTTTAACCTTTTTTCAATAAACTAAAAAAAATTGCAAAAAAGAAAGAAAGAAAGAAAAGAACAAAGGACTCTTGCAAATTTTTGTAGGATTCCAACTATATATAACTTGTGCCCAGCAGTCGAAAAAGTTGAAAAACATTGCTGATAAATCTTGAGGGAAAAATTGAAGTGATAATATTTATGTAAAATGTGCCATTATTAGACTTCTTAGTTTTCTTTCTTTCCCTGGGGAAAAAAGTACTCGATCCACCACAGCCTCCTGTACACTGCCCCAATCCTGCAAAGAATCCTTACAATGTTCAGGTCTTCCACTTGAGTTCGCAGCCCACGTAAGGTATCCATGCGCTCAGCTTCATTCTCAGGATACGGGTGCAGGTGGCAGTGAAAGCTGGGGAGAAACACAATGCATTATGAGTCACAGACTGCTTATGGGAAAGCCAGATATGCATATGGGGAGACTGAGCTGGGGAAGCAGAAGCTCTTGGGGAACTGGCAGCATGGCTAGTGGGGAGATCCTCAGAATAGCTCCAGAGCTTTGGGAAAAGAGGCAATATCTGAATGACGTCAGACTGAGGAAGGAACGCCTCATGAAAACAACTTTAGAATGGAAGAAAAGGCTTCACTATTAAGTAAGTAAGGAATATTGGCTGCATTTACTTTACACACAACATCAATACCTAACCGTAGGCATCCTTGTTTAGTAACCACAATTGAGGCCAGCAACTGGATTGTTAAGTAAAGTGGTCACTAACTGAAAATGTAACAGTGCTTACGATCTTACTTCAGCTTTCCTTTGCTTTAGAGCAGAGGTCCACAACACCCTGTCCACAGACCAGCACCTATCTGTGGCATGCCAGAAACCGGGCCGTGGAAACAAGCGAAGCTCCATCTGTGGGATGCGCAGGGAGCTTACGAAATCATGGGAAAACCTCTCTCCATGAAACCGGTCCCTGGTGCCCAAAAGATTGGGGGGGGGGGCTGCTTTAGAGGTAATCCTTATTTAGCAACTGCCTGGTTTCACAATTGCAGTTAATGTGGATGAAAAGTAATCTTACAATCAATCCTTGCATTTACGACCTATACATACATGCCTGACATTGTGGTGGTAGACAGGTGCCAGAGGACAGTATTGGTAATAGATGTAGTGGTGCCAAGGGGGATGACAAAATTTCCAATTTAATCAAAGCACAGTCTATACGGATAGTCCCCATTTAGTGATTTCTTCACTGTTCGCAATTACGACAGTGACAATATCATGGAATGAATCAGAGATACACAGATACATGTAAAGTATGTGTATGTATGTATATGTATATATGTGTGTGTGTATACATATACATACACAAACACACACATTTACATGCATCTGTGTATCTCTGAATGATACACCTGTTGTGTTGGACTGCACTAAAGTAGAAGCACTGGTAAACAAGGGATAGGAAGGGAGGACACAATATCCAGAGCACTCACCAGTTGGCGATCTTACGGATTTTCTGCCCAATCTGATCACCCCAGTAGGAGATGAGGAAGATGACCCAGGTGATGCTTTCCCCCTACACAGGAAAAGACAGGCTGTTCAGGAGCATTTGCAATAGGAAGAATAGGAGAATGGGGCAAAACTCACTTAACAAATGTTTCACTTAGCAACATAAATTTTGGACTCAATCGTGGTCGTAACTTGAGGATCCCCTATACAATTCAGATTGTCAATATCTTTTGTGGCCTGCCTTAGAAGACGACCCCATTTTATGAACTTTCTTGCCAAAGTTGTTAAGTGAATCACTTAACACTGCCGTTGTTAAGTTAATAACATGGTTGTTAAAGTGAATCTGGCTTCCCCGTTGACTTTGCTTGTCAGAAGTTCGCAAAAGTCAATCACATAACCCCAGGACATTGCAACTGTCAAAAATGTGCATCTGAATTTTGATCATGTGACCATGAGGAGGCTACAAGGGTTGTAAGTGTGAAAAACGGTCATAAGTCATTTTTTTCAGCACTGCTGTAACTTTGAACGGTCACTAAATGAACTGTTGTAAGTTGAGAACTATCTGTATTTCTGCCTGCCCATCAATTCATTATTATGTACTATCAGCTTTGGATCTATTCTTAATGACTCCATTAGATCTATGTGATCTGTTCCTGACCTAGCCCTTCGTGTCTTCCAATGGTTCACCAATTGCTGTTGTAATCTAATCATACCCATCTTGAATCTCACATGCAACTGTGGGAAGGGAAGGAATTATGAAAGGACAGGCTTTGATGACTTCACAAACATGCACTGCCTCACTATGGTCACCCCTGTATGAAGCTAGACCAGGGGTGTTAAACTGGTGGCCCACAGGCCGAATGAATCATGCACAGGTCACACCCATCCCAGCTCCATGAAGGAAAACATCATCGCAAAACATCACGTGATGGCAACGTGATGCCACGAGTTTGACATCCGTGAGCTAGACTCTCTGGATTGCCTGTAGCCTATAACCCTATACTCTATAACCCAGCCAGGGGTATTCTTATTTTCAACTAGCTGATAACCCAATGTTGCCAGGGTATTTATTTATTTGTATTTATTTTTATACACACACACACACACACACACACACACACACACACACACACACCCTGAGGGGTGTTAGGGGTGTCTTACCCCCCCACAGTATTTTTTTTCCAGAAAGTAACCAAGCTTGGTTGAAATTGCTCGACGCGTTCCAGAGTTATGCTGGAACATACAGACGCAGACACACACATACACCCCTAGGGGTGCTAGAGGTGTCTTACCCCCACAATATGTTTTACCAGATAATAAGTCATCTGTGTACCAAGTTAGGTTGAAATTGCTCAAGGTGTTCCAGAGTTATGCTGGAACATACACACACACACACATCCATTTTTATATATATAGATTGTAGAGGGGAGTTGCAGTTCCAACACGTTTGAAAGACACAAGGTTAAGAAAAATTGCCGCAGCCTTAAGGTGTTACCATTCCCAGCCAACCAGCCCAGTTTTTCCTCTTACTGTATTTCATCTTACCGTGGATGGATTTTCAATTGGCTCTGTCATCTCTGTGAAATGAGGAACAAGGTATCCACGGCACGCACGCCACAACAGCCGTTCAAAGGAATTCACCCGCCATGGATGTATCACACCTGCCACAAAGCTTCAGGGGCAGGGTGAAAGGGAAAAAAACCTAAATTAAATTTTGAAGGCTGATTGTTCAGTATCCCAAGGCAACATTGTGCACATCATGTATTAAGTTAGGTACATTAAGTGTACTTCAGAGTACAGGAGTACTTCATCTCTTCCATGAAACGAATCCGTCAAAATACCCTCAAACCAGTAAATGCGATCCCTTGAAATACAGTAGGTGAGAGAAGAGTCGGCAGGCTCTTCCACCAATATTCCTTATCTGAGCAAGCAAACCTCACCCAACCTTCACTCACTTGATTCTGAGGTCAGGACGGTGTAGCATGGTGGGGTCAAGCAGAGGATCTCTTTCAGAGAAAGCACGAGAAAGGACAGGCGAATCAAGGGGCACCTGCTGGTAGATGTGACAACCCAGGATTAAAGCCATGGAAGCTCTCCTTCCACTCTCCTTTGGTTATTTGGTTGCAAAACAGAGGTGGGTTTCAGCAGGTTCTGACCAGTTCTGGAGAACCGGTAGCGGAAATTTTGAGTAGTTCAGAGAACCAGTAGTAAAAATTCTGACTGGCCCCACCCCCATCTATTCTCTGCCTCCCAAGTCCCAGCTGATCAGGAGGAAATGGGGATTTTGCAGTAACCTTCCCCTGGATTGGGGAGGGAATGGAGATTTTACAGTATCCTTTCCCTGGGGTGGGGTGGGAATGGGGATTTTACAGTATCCTTCCCCTGCCACACCCATCAAGCCACGCCCACCAAGCCATGCCATGCCATGCCATGCCAAGCCACGCCCACCAAACCACACCCACAGAACCAGTTAGTAAAAAAAATTGAAACCCATCACTGTTGCAAAAGGTGTTTCATCCTCAGCTTTTTGCTCAACCCTTGGATCCAAGGCCTCAAACAACCCCACCCCAACAGCTCCCTCTTTCCCTCCGAGTCCCCAAATTTGCCTGACTGCCAGAGAAGTAGATTTGGAACAGGAAGAGGAAGGGATTACTTACCAATTGACCAGTGAAACGCTGGCCCTCCTGCAGCACCTGAATATGCTCTCGCAGTTCCTGAAGCTGACCAAGCAGGGCCTCCCGGTTGTGGCTCACCTCCCGCAGCTCCTGTGACAGGGTCTCAGACTGCTCCTGGATACGCAGGGCCTCACGGGCCAAGGGGGCTGGCAGATTCTCCTCTGGAGGCTCCAAAGACCGTCCAGCTTTCTGCACTTCCTGGGCCAAAAAAGCTGGAGAAAAAAGGGGATAAAAAGAAGCCCAAGACCTAGATTTGGTGTCTTAGCAGGGTGGATAAAAATCAATAATTTTTTTTTTTAAGATTTTTTTAATTTAAATTGGATTTTTTTGATTTAAATTGGATTTTTTTTTTATTTTTATCGAATTTATTCTAAAAAAAAACTTTTGGGGTAAAAATCTATCGTAAGATAGTTTTCTATTTAAGATACATAAATAATTTAGTTTATTCAGCATGAAATGGAGCTTAGTTATGTAGCTTGAGGCTGTATATTCTGCAACACTGGGACTATCGGTGAGTCAACAGTGGGTCAAAGGAGTAGCAGAGATGACAGTTGCTCTTTAAAAATTATGATTTAAATCGAGTTGATTTAAATCAAGCCTTTTTACTAGTGATTTAAATCATGATTTAAATTGTGATTTAAATCAACTCGATTTAAATCAAATCCACCCTGTGTCTTAGTTCAGATTTTTCCCAAGCCCAGCTCAGAAAAGGGCTTCAGCGTGCTCAGTGCAGCTCACCTAGCACTGGGACTCAGCAGCAAGGTTTGTGCTTTACATGCAGAAGGGCCAAAGATGAATCCCTGCCAGCAGGGGGAAAAAACTCATCCAAAATCTGGAGAGCTGAGGGAAAGTGGGGCTGGCAATGTTAGGCTGAACCAGTGGTTTTCAAATTTGGCAATTTTTAGTTGCAACAACTTCAACTCCCAGAATTCATGCTGGCTGGGGAATTAGAGGGAAGTCCACACATCTTATACTTGCCAAATTGGAACACTAGGTTGAGCAAACCATGAGTAGACTCAATATATTGCAAGTCCTGCTGACTGCAGAAATGGTGCCCAGGTTTAGCACCCAAAAAGTTATGCCAAATAGTTTAATGGACTACATTCAGCCTGCTAGCTGATGAGTTGCAGTGGCCTACCAAAGTTACCACCACAATCATTCTTTCGTTTTCAGCAATAAAATTTATGAAATTTAGGAGTTTCCTGTATGGTTTCACTTCCTAAAACTCTCTGCAGTTTATATTTTTTATGAAATTCTGAGCACTTTCCTGCAGAAGAAAGATACGAGTTTTTATAATCTGAGAACAAACAATGTGATACAACCCCAATTCTTTCTTCTGTCTACCTCTGAATTGGATCACCAGAGCCCTAGCAAGGTACTACTAGTGACTATAGAATGGAGACTGGATACAGAATGTTTTCCTAAAAGGAAATTATTTTCTTATTATACTTTTTATGTCTTATTTTTTTCTATTTTAGAAGTGGGTTATTTCCCCCAAATTAATCAGCAACATAATAAATGGATAAAGACCGCCAATCCCAAATAAAAAGTACAATAAATGAATAGCCTGACAATTTCAAACATTTTTATGCCACCATTCATAGATATTTGTTATCAAGACTTGGTGCCTTCAATATTTTTTCAACACATCTAAGTGAGCTATTAAAGAAAATCGCATGCTATTAAATTGTAAAAAACAGCTTGCATGAGAAATTCTAATTACCATTTGCCAAGGACCAGTGGTTATAATTTAATTTAGAAAAGTTTCTGCTGAAAGTGTCCCATGATGTACTAATTTAATGTTCCCCCAATTATAAAAAGAGAGTCTTATGATTTGCTTTATTTAATCATAGGCAGCCTGATATCATACAGCCAAAATCTAGAAGCCTATCACAATTTCTGCCAGCCCATAAATTAACAAAACAGTTTTCACTACTACAGCTGGCATGTTACTGGCCTTACTTCACCTCTACTTTCCAGGTTTTACTGTCAACCTTCTGAAAATTCCATCAGCAGAGGGAAAGCCCCACCAAGTCTCCCAAAGCAGGTGTCACTCACTGAAAGTTTTCTCCATTTCTTCACAACGCCGCAATTCGCCCACAAAGCGCCGCTGGAAGGCACTGACATGAGGATTCAGCTGGAAATAGAAGAGGCTTATTGAGAAGCTTATGAGGGTCTGGTTAAAGATAGAGCTGATGCTTTAGCCATCCCAAAACCAGGCACCAAAATTTTTAATGCACCACATCAAGATCTGCTCAATAAAACACCCTCCTTTTAGCCTCAAATTAGTCTTGCCTTCAATCTCTTCTATTTATGTGCAAGGCTCTTATCAAACGAGCAATCCCAACATTTTTCCATAAATAAGCAGAGGTAGTTGATTTATGTCGCTTTTACTTGATGGCCCCCATAAGCTTTGTGTTAAAAAAAAAAAAAGTTGTAAAGGGAGCCTCTCCTTTTGTAAGAACAGCAACTTCCTTGTAAGGAAACCAACTACACCCATGGACTGATTGCTGCCTGTCTTGCAATCACCGGGCAATGAAAAGCCCCAACAGTTATTACATCCTTAGTTTGGTCTTCCCACCAAGCAGTCCCCAAAATCTTCCAGCACATACATCACGGAACTCCACGAGGCCTCGCTCTCCTAATTCACTAACACACGCATAGGATGAAGCCGACTGCAAGAAGAGCTGGGCCAAGCACATCTCCTCGCTGCGAAACATGGTCTCCTGTTTCCACAAGAGGCTGTAAGACAAAATGGTTTCATTAGTAGGCATTAAACCGCTACCTATTCCTATTCTAAACCGCTACCTATTCCTCATGGAGGCTAGAACACGGATGACCAAGTAATAAGAATAGGAAATAGTGACAAAAAGAGAGGGGTACAAAGACCGGGAAGGGGTGAAGAGCAGAGAAGCCACCAACAGGAGAAATAGGCAAAACCAAAATGTTGACCTCATCACCTAGGGAAAGCTAAGGCAGATGTTTGGTCACGAATACTGAAGTATCTACTGCCTGGCCATTAGGACTGCACCAGTCAGGATTCAGTGGCTGCAGTGGCCTAAGGGGAAGGGGAACGGCTTACCTCTGGATACTCCAAATGCAAGAAAGCAGAAAACGAGTTTCTCTGTCAGGGCTCCAGCCAGACACAGCCCTAAATCAAATCTCTGCCATCCTGATGGCTTGCTGCAACTTGCTCCTGACTCACGTGAGGCTTTTTTTTTTTTCCAGCTCTGGGATTGCAACACAGTTTCCAGGTCAGGCCACGACCACTCATTTCACAACATGCCTCTGACTCAGGCTTCTCTATTGCTCATAATGGGATTAAAATACCCTGAGATGGCAGTTCTGAGACCCGGGCTGGAGGAAAACTGCAAAGAGATAACTTCAGCTGTTGGAGGAGACAGAGCACGATGCCTGTTTTGGAGAGGAGGGTGTGGGGGGGGGGGGGGGGGTAGAGGAGGAGAAAAAGACAAGGCACAGTAATCTATTAAGAACAAAAATATATTTCTCTAAATTTCATTTCATCCTCAGGGGTCGCCGTTTGCCCTCTGCAATGAGAAAGTGGCCTGGGTAGAAGGTGGCTTGCTCTGGTGATAGAGATAACAAAAAGGAGTCCACAAGTCTGGGAAAACCACATTGTGGCAACAGTTGCAGACACCACACCCGGAATTCCACAGGCTGGTTTGCCTGGAAGCAAGTGGGTTATAATTAGAACAATGAATGAATTAATTAAGTCAGCCAAGCATGACTACAACATTGCCTTTCTGCATAACATCAAATATTCTACCGGTAGATTACTGTAGGCCATCTCCAGCCGTTTTTCTCCAGCAAAAAATGGACATAAGAAGACTGCCAGTCTTTCAAAGTATCATAGCCAAGCCTGCAGGTCCACTACGAGCATAAACGTATTAGGAGAATTACCCTGACTTTAGAATGATTCCTGGGCTACAACTGAAATGAATAGGGCTTCTATTAAGGGCTGGATCACTGTATTGGGGAAAGGGTTTTTGCTCTGTGAAGGCAGAAATAGGCATCTACTTTCATGCATTCATCAGTGCCAATCACCAAGCTAAAATTCCACCACCAAAAGCTGCAGTACTGCATCTATATAGAAAAGGAGCTGAAAATCACTGTTCCATCCATTTGTATGCTAGAATACTGTGATCCCTAGGGATGGGGGGGGGGATAAACCTGCACCCCCCCCCAAAAAAAGACTGCAGATTTGGCCATAAAAAGTAACTGCTTTCTTTTAAGAAAGTTGATGTTTCAGAGAGGCAGCTTCTCTACTCAACAATCTTCAGCTACTATGGAGCATGGATCGGCTGTCGGACGTGATGCTCCAAATCACATCATTCTCTAACAGAATTACAAAAATCCTGCTCCAGAAGGGATGTATTAAGTGTATGGCAGAGCAGTGGATCACTCCCAGACTTATGGCCTTATGGCAAGTTTTGTACTGAGTCCCGAGAACAAGCAAGGATTGCATATTCTGTGCAATTTTGGGGATTTCATCTTGCACTAAAAATAATGCAAAGAATTTGTATCAATAAGGCATTATTGCAAGGAGCTTTGCAATAGGTTTTGTCTTGCTAACCCCATCTTTATTATTTTATTACTTTTATAAATAACTCAAGGTGGCAAGGATATCTAATACTCTTTCCTCCTTCTATTTTCCCCACAGTGAGCTGGGCTAAGAGAGTAAATTTCCCAAAGTTACCCAGCCAGTTTTTATGCCTAAAGCAGGACTAGAACTCAAGTCTCCTAGTTTCTAGGCCAGCATCTTCACCACTACACCAAAATGATTCTCCTTAAACTCATTCAAAGTTAATGACTAAGTTATCATGCTAATGTTATATTTAGCATACACACACACACAAATGGCATAATTAAATAATACACATAGCATTTTTTTTTTAAAAAAAAGTATGTCGGCATGGTGCAAATTTTTGATTACATCTGTCATTCTGTGTTGAACCTCAGAATATAACTAGATTGAACTGTGTCTGAGAGAGGTACCACATCTATTGAGAGGTTTCTTTGTATCAGAACTATGCAAAACATTTGGAGGGTATTTTATTAACAGTGGGAATAAAGCACCCTTCCTCGATGTCTTCCACGAAACTGGTGCCTGGTGCCAACAAAGTTGGGGATTGCTGAATTTAAATATATTACAACCAAACATCTAACCACACCCTACAAAAATATTTTGTTGATCCCTCCTCAAAATATGAGACCCTTAAAAAAAATCACAAGCTTTTATTAGACAAATGTGGAATTGAAAGTATGGGTAGGAGCCAAGGAACAGCAGCAATCTTTTTTTTAACAAGGAGGCTTTTGAGAAAGTCATCTTCATCACATCTCAAAATGGAATGCTAATATAGGTTTATGTTAGTATAAATTAATTTAATAAATAATCTTGCTTCTCTTATGGATCGTGAAGCAGTTACAACAGCGGAAGAAATTGTTTTCGTTTGTCCTGAACAACTACATCTGAACCAAGCTGATCTAGAAGCATGCTGCTATTAATTACTTTCCTGGATCATCCAGTAAACTCTTGAAGTAGAGGTGATTCTGTATTATTCTGCAGATGTCCTGCGTTTCCATTCCCACAAACCCCAACCCACAGGACTATATTGGGCAAGGATCTGGTAGCTGAAATCCTATATCTCTGGAGCACATCACAGCTTGGAGAAGGCGGCAAAGGTCTTTTTAGTTACAAGGAAGTGGAAGGGGTTTCCAGCTCTCACGTGAGCTGTTCCAATTTTCCATATATGGCACACGCACACACACAAACCCCGCCTCAGGCGCCAAAAATGAGTGACCATTCCGTAGTCTAAACCGGAAGCATTTTTCTACAGTCCAGAGAAGACGCGAGGGCGATGGAGAAAGCCTAGTTCTTAGATAGAGTCCTAATTTCCCCATCTCCCGGAGAGACTGGAAAATGGGAGACACAGTGGCGGATCTCCTCTGTTCTAATTCCCCAAAAGATAACACCGGAGCCTAGAGATAGCTTCTGGCAGAAACCGCTACCATTAAATGGCTCTCGGTTCGCCCCACAACAGCCTCTAATCCAACCACACTCACGCCTCCCGGCAAGCAGGTGGCCGCCGCAACCCTGGAGCTGAGAGCACCGTGATTTGTTTGCATAGAGAGCCAGGAAAGCGATTTTCCATCCCCACCCCACAAGAAATGTAAATAAGTGAGGTGCGGCTAGTTTTTAAGCACATTGCAGCAAAGGGAAAGCGGAGTGGAGGGAAGTTAGGTCTTGCAACAACTGAAGGAAAAGAAAGGCTGAACTCTGCAAACCCAAACGGCAGATCTTCAGAAGAGAGAGAAGACAGAGCCCGGAGATCGGGCTCAGAAACACAAGGGTTGATGGAGGGAATCGCTGGCGGGAAGCCAAACAAGCACTCACCTTCCGATGCCGCCGCCGGAACAGCAGCCGGGTATCTTCGCCTCCCGGGCCGCCAATTACTTCCTCTTTACCACGAAGGCCCCAACTGAAAGGAAGCCTGATCTGTCCCGCCCTGCGAAATCTCCCAGTGCGCAGCTCGAACTTCCTGCTGGTTATGGGAACAGAGGATGAGCTCGGAGAGCAAAGCGAGTTCTGGTTCTCAAACGCCGTGGGAGAAAAACCAAAGAAAATCGAACCATTTTGTTTCCTTCTGCAGCTTAGTCCTCTGCGCAGCCCGAGAGATGCACAATATTGTAGACGCTCCCCGCTTTTCCTTTGTTGACATACTCTTATGCCGCAGAGGCATGGTCAAAATGTGCGAAGGCATATAAATTAAGGATACTGAGATTTAATTAGTTATTTCACAGGCCCCGATCATCAGGACTGGATCGATTTTTATGTAGATCAGCTTTTTTGGTGATGGGGATGCCAGAGCAACAGCTTAAGGGAGGAAAAACAATGTCGTAAAATCTGCAAGAAAAACTACGTGTGGATCTCTTGCAGTGCTTGTCAGCATCATGCTATTTATCACACTGCATTTTATATGCGTATGGCTGCCCAACACAGGTGTCATATAAGGGTTCCAGCCTTTTACTTGAAAGCATGAGATTTTTCTGCACTATCTAACACATAAAGTGGCCCCAACTTTATATATGTTTGTTTTTATGAGTTATTTCCTAGATTATCTTGAGGAAGACCACAATAACAATAAGTCTCTACATCTTTGCATTGGGATTGTGGGAAGCCTTAGAATAGAATAGAATTTTTTATTGGCCAAGTGTGATTGGACACAAGGAATTTGTCTTGGTGCATATGCTCTCAGTGTACATAAAAGAAAAGATACATTCATCAAGAATCATAAGGTACAACACTTAATGGTAGTCATAGGGTACAAATAAGCAATCAGGAAACAGTATAAATCGTAAGGATACAAGCAACAAAGCCACAGTCATACAGTCACAAGTGGGAGGAGATGGGTGGTGGGAACGATGAGAAGATTAATAATAATGCAGACTTAGTAAATAGTTTGACAGTGTTGAGGGAATTATTTGTTTAGCAGAGTGATGGCGTTTCGGGAAAAAACTGTTCTTGTGTCCAGTTGTTCTGGTGTGCAGTACTCTATAGCGTCGTTTTGAGGGTAGGAGTTGAAACAGTTTATGTCCAGGATGTGAGGGGTCTAAATATTTTCACAGCCCTCTTTTTGACTCGTGCAGTAGGCTGTAGGCTTCCTCTTTGGAACAACATAGCTACTTAAGTTTAGCTGTGAACAAAGGTTTGTTGTTACTGTATATTCGCAAGTTCCTGGTCAGTACATATAGATCTTCACAGAAGCTGACATATGATGTTACAGTATCTGTGAGTCAGGTGGGTTCTAAAAAATTTTTACTACCAGTTCTGTGGGCGTGGCTTATTTTGTGGGCATGGCTTGATGGTCATGTGACAATTATTTAGGATTTAGCAGAGGTACTGATCTACCAGGCTTTTAACTGCTTGCAGAGCTGTACCAATCTACCCATTTATTTTTGCAGGCAGTGATCTACTCATGTATTTTTGCAGGCACTGTTCTACCCATTTATTTTTGCAGGTACTGATCTACTCATGTATTTTTGCAGGTATTGGTCTACCCATTTATTTTTGCAGGCACTGATCTACTCATATATTTTTGCAGGCACTGGTCTACTCATGTATTTTTGCAGGCACTGGTCTACCCATTTATTTTTGCAGGCACCGATCTACTCATTTGTTTTCTTTTAACACTGATCAGATGTAGGGCGGCCTTTTGAAGCCCTGCGGCAAGAGTTTAAACAGTTTTTTTCCCTCTAGCCATCAGCTGGGACTCAGGAGGCAGCAATAGATTGGGAGTGGGGCCAAATAAAAGGTAAGAATAACGCGGAAGGTGGGTGGGCAGAACCGGTTCGGTGACATCATATCGTCATCGCTACTGGCTCGGTGGAACCGGGAGGAACCCATCACTGCTGTAAATTCATCCAGGCCTGCAGAGGTATCTTCAAAAATATTCCAATCAGTGCAGTCAAAGCAAGCCTATAGCTCTAACTTTGCCTCCTCAGTCCAAGTCTTCACTGATTTAATTGTTGGTTTTGTGGTTTTAAGTCTTTGCCTATAAGCAGGTACAAGGTGAATCCTGCAATGATCAGAGTGTCCTACAGCTGCTTGTGGTAAAGACCGATAAGCATCTTTTAGTGTTGTGTAGCAATGGTCTATTCTTGCCTCTAGTGGGACAATTGACATGATGTAAGTATTTTGGTAGCTCTTTCCTTAAGTTTGCCTTGTTTAGATCTCCCAAAATAATGGCCAGTGAATTGGGGTATTTGGCTTCATCCTCCATAATTTGGTCAGCTAGAGTTTGTAATGCCTTGTTTACGCAGGCTTGTGCTGGGACATAAGAAGCAATTAGAAGAAATGAGGAAAATTCACGAGGCGAATAGTATGGTTTGCAGTTGATAATTAATGTCTCTAGGTTTTCATCACAGAATTTATATATTATAGTTATATCCTGAGACCATATATATATAAGCATAAGCCTCCCTTCTTTTTACCAGATGTTTCTGCAATTCTGTCTGATTGTTGAATCTGAAACCTTAGGATATGCAGGCTGCTATCTTCAATTGATTCATTTAACCAGGTTTCAGAGAAGCATAAGGCTGCTGAATTGTAAAAATCAGAATTGTATCTGTTTAAAAGGAGTATTTCATCCATCTTATTAGCAAGTGAACGTACGTTGGTTAAGAAAATTGAAGGCAGAGGAGTTTTATTTCTCCTATTCCTTAACCTGTTTAAAATTCCCACTCTTTTACCTCTCCTTTGCTTCCTCCGTTTGGTTTTTTGGTAATCCATGGCTCCGGGGAAATTGCTTCTTCCTGTGTTAGAATCTCCTCCACGTTTGTAAAGAGGTGTGGGGGTGGTGAGATCACAGAAAGCTGCTCCTTAAAGAAATGTTGCTTAATTTTTAGCAGATGATCTCTCTTTTTTTTTTTTGAAAAAAAAGTTTTTATTTTATGATCAGACAAATATACAATATAGGCAATCATTCAATATATCATCATCATTCAATATATCATCACCTTATGACTTATCATTTACATAACATTTTTACTTATCTGTTTAAACATTTATAAACCCAGCCTTCAACCCCCCCTTCCCACTCCCCACCCCCGACTTCCCAGAACAAAAACAGGGTATAAATTTTAACAAATATACGCTAAAATATGCTAACTTAATGCAAGATTTAAAACTCCCTAGACCCCTTAACTCCCCTTCTACAGATTATTCATCAGCCTCCCTTTTTTATAAACTCAAAATAACATATAATCCTTTAACCCTAAAAGTTTTAAAAACATTAACAAACACTAATAGATCATTCAAACCCTAAAAATCTCGTAATACATCTGTAAAATATTCTTAGTTCATTTACTTAATCAATTTACTCTTCCTCCTACTTTTATTCTCAAAATTCAAATATTTTAAAAATCTTAATACAATAAATAAACCTTAATTAATCATTAATTGAATTTCTATATTTTCTTAATTCATTTACTTAATCATTGTAATTAATCATTAATACATCAGTAGTTAGACCAGAAAAAGTTAATCTTCCATTCTTCCTTCCTTTCTGTATTTTTTCCAGTCTTTCTTCCTCCCTCCTACTTTTATTTTGAGGAGGTTTTGAATTTTAACTTGAGGTTGATGTATCTTTAAAACTTGTCCCTTTCTTGGAACCATTTCCTCTGATTTAGAGCCCCCTTATCGACTCTTCTTGCTTATATAATCAGCCAGTTCATAGAACGAAGAATTGACTCAATAAGATTTATCAGTTTGCAAAGAAAAGTCCAAAACCTCATAAGGCTGGTCAGTTTCTACTTCTTTCTGCTCCAAATTATATTTTTGAAAAGTTCTGTCAGTTAATTCCAAAAGAGTAGGAAGAAAGTTTGAAGATTCTTGAGAGCCAGCCAGTTCCAGCTTCTCTGTTTTGGTCAAAATGTCTCCAGCATTGTCATTGTGCTTTCCTTCAAAAATATCCTCAATTGCTTTTATATCCTCCACCAGTTCTGTAAAATTTCGTTCCATGATTGCTGTTTGGTTATTAATAATTGCAATTTGGTTATTCATGGCTTCCTTTATAAATTCTGTAAGTTCTGTAAATTCTCTAAACAAATCCTCCTGGCTCTGTGAATCAATTCTCTGTATCATTTCTGACACCATTAGAGAGCCTCCTCCACTTTCAGGAACTCCTTGCTTGGAAGCCATATTATTATAAAAGAATTTTTCTTTTCACAGCCATAAAGTCTCTTGAACAGCTTTCTCAAATTTATTTGTGATTTATCAAGCAAGATAGTCTTTTCTACACCCAGCTCTCAAATCCCAACAACTTAAATCAAGTCTCTGAGCACAAGCACTTTCATTTCTAACTTTCACTTTTACGCCCACAACGAGGACGCCATTTCCACCTCCAGCTCAGAAAAATCAAGTAGAAACAATGTATCCCAGGAGTTAAGCACAATACTTGCAAAAGCTTGTTCTCCTGCTTCCGTTCTGTCTGCTTTTGAATTCAATTAATCTCCTTTTTGACAGCAGAGTTGGCTCCGTTTAAAACGGAGTCGCCTCGGATCCGGAGCTTCAGTGGGCTGAACGGGGAGCTCTCACCCTCCAAGCCCCTGGAATTGTTCCAGGGGCTTCCGGGGAGCTCTACCTCGCCCACCGGCTCTCCTCTCCTTCTTCTCCCGAAGGAGAGGTTTTCAAGCCGTCTGACAGCTGATTAACGCTGTCAGAACGGCTCCAACGGAATCGCGGGGCTAGCGGTCTGAAAAGACCGTCCGTGACGCCAACGGTGCCAACCGGAAGCCGATTTCTTGAGTAAGAAATCCGTAGTGAGTCGCAGAGAATAATTAAAAATAAACCATTAGAGAGCATTTCACCGAGG